TGGAGCAGAACTTTGACAACGTGTGGCCGAGCACACGTCTGTTTGGAGCAGGCCTGCCTCCGGGCTTTTATAGACCTTCCCAGACCCCCAATAACCCCGATGCCACGTCCTGTGGGAGTAGGGAGATCGTTCGGTGGTCCCTGGTGACATTGCATGCTCGAGTGAACTCCTTGAAACTCGAGCAGTTCAATGAGTTGCCGTTCTACCCTGGTACTCCCCAACAGAATGGTGTATCATAGATAAGGAATAGGACTCTATTGGAAATGATGAGATCGATGATGAGCTATGCTTCATTACCTACTTTGTTTTGGGAATACGCATTAGAAGCGGTGGCGTACCTTCTTAACTTCGTGCTTTCTAAATTGGTTCTGAAAACTCCAATAGAATTGTGGTCCGGGCGTAAGCCTAGTTTAAACCACATTCGGATTTGGGGCTGCCCAGCACATGTGTTGGATAAGGAAGCTGATAAGTTGGCACCTAGAACAGAAGTATGGTTGTTTGTAGGTTTCCCAAAGGGAACAAGAGGTGGTTACTTTTATAGTCCTAAAGACCAGAGGGTGGTGGTAAGCACCAATGCCCGATTTTTGGAGGAAGACTATATGAGTGAGCATAAGTCCAAGAGTGAGATTATTCTCAAAGAGTTGAGGGAAGACAATGGCATACCGAGTGTGCAAGAGGATATCTGGATATGCCACAAGAGACTGCACAACGTGTTAACTCTGATTTATTTCACCTGAATTGCCTCGTTGTAGTGGGAGGGTTGTTCGTCAGCCCGATCGTTTCATGTTTGTGGGAGAGTCTTCGGACCTGATCCCAAGTGAAGAGCATGATAGTGATCCCTGGACCTACAATGAGGCAATCCAAGACGTAGATGCAGATTCTTGGCAGAAATCTATAGATTCTGAGATTTAATCCATAGATGTTATGGAGGTATACGACCTTAGGGACCTTCCTGAAGGCAAGAAAGCCATTGGGTGCAAATGGGTCTATAGGCATAAGAGAGGATCTGACGGGCAAATTGTTTCCTTCAAGGCACAAGTGATTGCGAAGGGTTTCACTCAGAAAGAGGGAATCGATTATGATAAGAACTTCTCATCAGTAGCTATGCTGAAGTCGATCTGGATTCTCTTATCCACAGCAAATCACATGGACTATGAGGTTTGGCAAATGGATGTCAAGATAGTTTTCCTTAACAGAAACTTAGATGAAGACATCTATATGCAGCAACCCAAGGGTTATGTGAAGAAAGGCCAAGAGCATCGAGCATGGAAGCTAAATAAGTCTCTTTATGGACTAAAGCAAGCTTCTAGGTCTTAGAATATCCATTTTGACGAGGTGATCAAGTCCTATGGATTTGATCAACGTTAAGACAAAAGTTGTGTATATAAAAAGAGCAACAAAAATGTAGTGGTATTTTAGTACTATACATAGATGATATTCTTCTTATCGGCAACGATGTCAAGATTTTGTCTTACATTGATACTGTGATTGCTCATTTCAGCATGCAGAACACCAAGAAAGGGTTGCTACCTTTTCGGCATGGAGTTCCTCTATCTAAGGATATGTGCTCGAAAACACAAAAGGAGATGGAGGAAATGGCTAATGTTTCTTATGCTTCGGCTGTAGAAAGCCTTATGTATGTCATGTTGTGCATGAAGCCTGATATTTTCTATGCAGTTGGCATGGTAGCGAGATATCAGTCTAACCCTGGTCAAGGACACTGGACTGCAGTAAAGAATATTCTCAAGTATCTGAAAAGAACTCGGGATTACATGCTTGTTTACCAGTCAGATAGTCTAACTACTTTGGGTTACACAGATTCTGATTTCCAAGCTGATTGAGATAAGAGAAAGTAAACCTCGGGTCATGTGTTTATGATGGGAAGCGGAGTAATCTCATGGAGGAGTGTGAAGTAGAAATGCATTGCAGATTCCACCCCGAGGAAGAAGCCCGTGGATCTGGCCTTTGGCCCATCCATGGTTGCCTCCTTCGACCGGTTAGGCTGTGAAACCTTCCCAACCTGAGTGGCAGTCTCGACAACAGCTTACCCTTGTCCTTATGTCCCTTCGGGGACTCGGCGCTTAGGCAAGGGCCTTACCCTTCCCCTTGGGGCCCCCCAGAGCCGTTGAGAGGCCCAATCTCGTTGCACGGCGGCGCGGAGGAAGCGCGGCTGAGGCTTGTTGCCACTGGTATAGCAATCAGCCCCAACGTGACCACGTGGTCACAGAGAGAACAGTACGGCGGGAGCCTCTTGTAGACCACCTTCTGAATGGTGGTCTTCCCCGCCTGGTCAAGCACAATCTCATCAATGAGCTCGCCGTGGAGGTCTATCTCAACGCACACCCGTGCGACAGATATCCTCGTCCGGTTGGCCGTGGTGGTATCAACCTCTATCGGATTCCCAATACAGCTGGCAATCGAGAAAAGAACGGTAGGATCATAAAGGTGCGGAAGAAGGCTTGGAAGGCGGAACCTGACGGGGGCAATAGGTTTCTTAGTCGATAGAGAGAAGTCAGGGGTGTACTTGAACACCCTGGCAGTGCACCCACAGACGTTCACGTACGTCTTGAGCCACGCCTCATTGTAATCATCTCTAATATCAAGAGTGACTAGATAATGATTTTAATTAAAGTATTTAGGTGTAAAACTACCCTTATACCCTAATTTTTTTAATCCAAACTTAAAATCTCAGAGGTTGGGGATAGTATAAAAGAACTTAAAAATCAAAGCCTTGTCGTGCGACCTGACAAGAGAGGAAACATCAAGCTCTGGAAAACTTACCTTGTACCTTCCCTCCTCAGAATGCAAGACAGCCCCACGGTGATTGGCCTGGAATTTGTCGAATGAGAATCTCTAACCTCTTGGTTTAGAATACCAGCCTCTTTAAAATTGCTGCCGGAGAGGGAGAGGCCGCCCACACCGGAGCTGAGATCGTCGTTCACCGGCGAGGTGGTGTCGGTCGCCGGCACAATGGAAGTGGAAGTGGGGCCGATTGCCGGAGGCAAGGTGGCTAAAGCAGGTTGAAGGGTGACGTGTTGTGGGATGAGGAGGAGTGTCTAGAGTAGAAAGTGAGGTTCTGTTGGGCTGATGGTGGAGGAGTGAGGTGCGTTGATTTTGGTTGGTGGGTTGTGTGGGCTTGATATGGATGGACTGTGGGAATATTTGAGAGGGGCTGGGGAAGGAAGAAAAATGGGAGGGAGATAAGGGTTGAAGGGGAGGCCCAGTGAGGAGGCCCAAAGATCCAAAAAATTAAAAGGTTACCTTGAGGCCCAACGGGCTCTGTCGTCTAGGCTAAAGGCAAGAGGTCCGCATGGCCCAAAGGAAGGCTTGGCTGAAAGCTAGCCACGTCACCTCCCACCCCATGAAACCCTAACATTTGGCCAACACATATTGGGATTTTGAACCTGCTAACTAGTCAAACCCACCAAGGAGGCGGAGGCCGGATCAACGTCAATTGGAGTTCGTTGACTGGTTGGGAAACATCGTCCAAAGAACCGGCAAAGGCTTGCGGCCCGTTTAAAGGCGATCTAACTGGCGACACTCCAAGTTCCAGAACAAAGCCACGAGGACGACGGCCACGCGGGCTATCTTCTCCGCATGTGTAGTCGACCCAAAAACTGTCGGGGTTGAGTTTCCGGTGACCTGGACGGCCGCTGCACGAGCATCAAACTTCTGGGGCGTTGTCTGCTCGAAAAAGGTTACCGGTGGGGCCGAAACTGAAGGAGCGACGCCAGCGTGAGCTGTTGGACCGCCGTCTGCTGCTAGCGAGAAAGTAATGTCTGTCGGGTCAGAGGAAACAGAGGTGACTGGCGGGGATTGGGCAGTGACCGGAGGGCCAACATCTCCAAGGTGGCCGTCTTCTGTCAA